CTGCACTGTGGTGAGGGAAGAGCTGTATGTGTTACTAAGCGTGAAAGTTCTGAAACTGAAGCTGTAGAACTAATAGAACGTGATGACACAGAAGAACTCATCCACCTCATCCACATTGACCGCCACAAATATCCACCGCCCCCCTGCCATCAGCTCCCGTGTCTCACACGAGCGCGACTTCAGCACTAGATTTAGCCACTTTCAGACCCTTTTAGCTGCTTTTTTCCCCATAGAATATTCATACTGACAAACCTAGCGACGTTTTTGGATAAACCTTAGCTATGGTTCAGTTGGAAGATTTCGCCAGTGCTGTCCCGCGAACACGAGGTCTGACTTTCCCGGAGAAGTGTCACCTCTCTCGGCGTCTGTTCTGTGCAGTGAGCGGCAGAGAAGCACCGCAGCCAACTCGTCCATAAATGAGTACAAAACAGCGTTTCCTAGCACCTGTCGCTTACTGAATGTTTGGAATTATAAATATGAGCGTAGTTCATCTAATATCCCATGCACTTTTTTTTTTGTTTTGTTTTGTTACTCAGACGCAGGCAGTGCGCTGCATGAGACAAAAAAGTAATATAGCCAAAACAACCGCATAGCCGCTCTTTAGTGTAGATGCATGTTGATTTTATCAGACGATGCCGTGATTATAAATGAGAGTGACTCCTGGTTAACATGTATTAAAAGGGTCGTGTTTAGTCACTGTTTAGTGTGGTATTTTTTGACAATATTCACTCATGACCGTAAAATAGGGCATTCTAAGTCAATATACTGCAGTATTTCCTCTCTCAATCAGTAGAAAATATGGTTAACACCCAGTCATGCATGCAAAAAAATACCGTCTTGTACCGTGAAACCGGTATAATTTGGAAAAATACCGTGATATAAATGTTTTGGTCATACCGCCCAGCACTGTTAAACCTTTGAGCTTTTCTTTTGCTGGAAAACTGCAAGTAGACCACCGTTTAGTTTCTGTGCATCTCATTACAAATCCAGTGAAATGCTGTCATCTCTCCACAACATTTTGGAAGTTATGCAAATGTAAAAGTGTAACTGCTGCACATTGCTTTCTCAAATGCATGTTAAACTGACAGCGCATGCAGATCGTTTGCTGAATGGTCTGTGAACCGTGACACTGAGAACACTGGATTGTGATGCAAATGAACACCGTGCCACACTTCACTGTAAAAAAAACAAGCCAGACTGTTAAATTTCAAATCATTTGTGATTTGATAAGTGCACTAAGCCATATCACGATGATTTGCTAAAGTAATGCATCCAAACAGTCTTCGATTTTATGAGGAGTGTAAAAAATATTTTGTGGTGAAACTGTTTAGACTGGTGGGTTGATAATTAATGGGAAACAGAATAAGGAGCATTTGGACATCTTTGAGAGCCTAAATATTCAAATATAGCATTTTGCGTGATAAAACTGTCTATATGGAACTTTAATCAGTTGAAGTGCTTCACAAACAGCTTTGTTGCTCTTCAGCTGGAGTGTTAAACATGCTTTTGAACTTTCAACAAAGTCCGCTAATTGCACAATTTCAGCTAAAGTCCTATGTGCTTGTTTAGGCCATTGACTTATAGCAGTGTCTCAGTATTTAGGCATTGGGCTGATGTTTAGGTCAGACAATATTTAGGATGTGGAACCGAATGTTCTAGTCTATGAACACCTTTTTTTTTTCCCCCCTTTTTAAGTATATCTGAAATGTAAAAGTTAGAAATGTGAGGTTTATTATGCAGCCACACTCTGGCACTTTAGGGTATGCAAAGTGATTGTACAAAACAGCGTTTCCTAGCACCTGTCGCTTACTGAATGTTTGGAATTATAAATATGAGCGTAGTTCATCTAATATCCCATGCACTTTTTTTTTTGTTTTGTTTTGTTACTCAGACGCAGGCAGTGCGCTGCATGAGACAAAAAAGTAATATAGCCAAAACAACCGCATAGCCGCTCTTTAGTGTAGATGCATGTTGATTTTATCAGACGATGCCGTGATTATAAATGAGTGACTCCTGGTTAACATTAAAAGGAGTCGTGTTTAGTCACTGTTTAGTGTGGTATTTTTTGACAATATTCACTCATGACCGTAAAATAGGGCATTCTAAGTCAATATACTGCAGTATTTCCTCTCTCAATCAGTAGAAAATATGGTTAACACCCAGTCATGCATGCAAAAAAATACCGTCTTGTACCGTGAAACCGGTATAATTTGGAAAAATACCGTGATATAAATGTTTTGGTCATACCGCCCAGCACTGTTAAACCTTTGAGCTTTTCTTTTGCTGGAAAACTGCAAGTAGACCACCGTTTAGTTTCTGTGCATCTCATTACAAATCCAGTGAAATGCTGTCATCTCTCCACAACATTTTGGAAGTTATGCAAATGTAAAAGTGTAACTGCTGCACATTGCTTTCTCAAATGCATGTTAAACTGACAGCGCATGCAGATCGTTTGCTGAATGGTCTGTGAACCGTGACACTGAGAACACTGGATTGTGATGCAAATGAACACCGTGCCACACTTCACTGTAAAAAAAACAAGCCAGACTGTTAAATTTCAAATCATTTGTGATTTGATAAGTGCACTAAGCCATATCACGATGATTTGCTAAAGTAATGCATCCAAACAGTCTTCGATTTTATGAGGAGTGTAAAAAATATTTTGTGGTGAAACTGTTTAGACTGGTGGGTTGATAATTAATGGGAAACAGAATAAGGAGCATTTGGACATCTTTGAGAGCCTAAATATTCAAATATAGCATTTTGCGTGATAAAACTGTCTATATGGAACTTTAATCAGTTGAAGTGCTTCACAAACAGCTTTGTTGCTCTTCAGCTGGAGTGTTAAACATGCTTTTGAACTTTCAACAAAGTCCGCTAATTGCACAATTTCAGCTAAAGTCCTATGTGCTTGTTTAGGCCATTGACTTATAGCAGTGTCTCAGTATTTAGGCATTGGGCTGATGTTTAGGTCAGACAATATTTAGGATGTGGAACCGAATGTTCTAGTCTATGAACACCTTTTTTTTTTCCCCCCTTTTTAAGTATATCTGAAATGTAAAAGTTAGAAATGTGAGGTTTATTATGCAGCCACACTCTGGCACTTTAGGGTATGCAAAGTGATTAAATTGGCCACACAACCGATTATTTTATTTTTTTAAACTAATATCAGTCATCTAGTTGTCTGAGTTTATTGCATTAAAAATAGACAATATAGTCTTTCCGGTCTCTGCACTGGCACTCATAATTGAGCGTGTGAGCTGAAACTTACCAGATGGTTGAACCGCAATCGTCACATTGAGTGGCTAATCCCTCAGTGTTGTTATAACACTCTTCTTCACATAGCGTTTCCACTGTGCACCCATACTTGCCTAGTAGGTGCCAACAGGATATTAATCTGCTGTGACTGATTTTCCACCTCAGGTGATGCAGCAGGCTGTTTATCAGGATGTTATAAAACATAAGCTGAGGTGACAATCTGATGGTCATGTGTTAATGAAATGTGTTTTGCTGTCGTTCTTTCAGATGTGGTCAGCATTGAGAAGACCAGTGAGAACTTCAGACTCATCTATGATGTCAAGGGACGCTTTACAGTTCACCGCATCACAAATGAGGAGGCCAAGGTGAGCTTAATGTTCTTGTGCAATATGACAAATAATGGATAGTATGACGATCTCATCAGTAGGATTAGAGGGAGCAGATCTTTTGAGCTAATGCTTTTGTCCTGTTTTCAGTACAAATTGTGCAAGGTGAGGAAAATCCTCATCGGCACAAAGGGAATCCCACATCTGGTGACCCATGACGCCCGCACCATCCGCTACCCTGATCCTATGATCAAGGTCAACGACACCGTCCGCATTGACCTGGACACAGGCAAAATTACAGATTTCATAAAGTTTGAGACAGGTTGGTGAGCATATTGTCAAACTTTGTCTGTCTGTCTTTTGCTTTGAGTTGCACATCACTTATTGTCATTTCTTTTTTTCTGTGTAAATAGGCAACATGTGCATGGTGACTGGAGGTGCTAACTTGGGGCGTATTGGTGTGATCACCAATAGAGAGAAGCATCCTGGCTCTTTTGATGTGGTGCATGTTAAAGACAGCACTGGCAACAGCTTTGCCACCAGGCTCTCCAACATTTTCGTCATCGGCAAGGTGAGTACAAAAAGTTTGCTGTCTGTTGTTTAATATGGGCTGTTTGCAAGCAGTTGACTGGGCTTAGTATTTGCTCAAGCAGTGGTCAAAATTAAGACGCGACGTTGGGAACTTTTTACTCATTGGGGTGCACGCGTTTTTACATTCATTATATGCTAAGAGGTGTTGTGGGGTTTAAAGCGGTTTTACAGATTTAGCAAATTACTTCTATTATTTTACAGTATTACAAGTTAATAATAATAATCACAAGTTAATAATACGGTGTCTCTGTCATTAGGGCAACAAGCCTTGGGTGTCCCTGCCTCGTGGAAAGGGTATCCGCCTGACCATTGCTGAGGAGAGAGACAAGAGACTGGCTGCCAAACAGAGCAGCAGCTAAGTCAACAGACTAGCAAACACCTTGGTTTGAAATAAACAATTATTTACAACTACAGTGAATCTTGTCTTTTGTTGAAAAGTATGAAGTGGATGGGCCAAATCAGTGGTTCGCAAACATTTTGATTATAAGGCCCACTGATGTCCAACACCATATTAAAAGTCAATAGTCATTGGAGGGAGAAGTTTGCAGTTTACATATTAATATATTAATGTTTACATTTAAAAGTTATCCTGATTCCAGCTTGGAGAGCCAATGTCCTATGATATAAAAAGTTATTTTCCTCCATTTGTAGTAGCTGCAGGTGCTCCGAAATAATCATAATTGGTGATACTTCACGTAAAATAAAGTTTAGTTATGTAATAGAACTAGGTGTTGACACTTGGGGCCTGTCCCAATACTCACTCCTGTGGTCTTGGCTACTTCAGTACATGTGACAGGAAACAAATGAGCAAGACTATCCCAGGTCTGGTAAATGCCAGATATTGGTGCCCTTAAAGCACACTAAATGCACACTATTGCTAATACCACTTCAGAGCACTATTTGAGGCTGTCTCATCATGTTCCGGAACTGTGCTCTGAAATCATGAAATGTTGAGAAAAACATTACAGTGTTTGATTAGAAGTGTTGCATATTTTATTGGTGCAGAAGTGTATTTTGTAAAATGTTGACAACTGCTTTTTTCACTTTATTAGAAGCTTACCAAAACAATAAATTGTGTTGTTTGTTACATAGGGACTACTGAACAAACATTTAGAAGTATTGAAAATCTCAATGTGTTCATGTCATGAAAGTAGACCTGTAGGAAGTGTTGGGATAGGCTGGTACTTTTTTTAGATTAGAAGTGTTGCATATTTTATTGGTGCAGAAGTGTATTTTGTAAAATGTTGACAACTGCTTTTTTCACTTTATTAGAAGCTTACCAAAACAATAAATTGTGTTGTTTGTTACATAGGGACTACTGAACAAACATTTAGAAGTATTGAAAATCTCAATGTGTTCATGTCATGAAAGTAGACCTGTAGGAAGTGTTGGGATAGGCTGGTACTTTTTTTTATCCCCAAGCAGAAATGAGTTTGGTGCTCACTGCATTACATACTACGCACTTAGCACATGCATAATCACAATATCACTATTAGTGATCTTTAATATCTTGACTGTAGATGGAATTAATTCATAAACCCGTTTGAAATTAACCTCCTGCTTGATGGCAACCTTTCCAATTCAAGATTCAGATTTGTGTTGTATTATTCAGAATCTTGTGTGCCTCCCTCAGCACTCAGTTTTCATATGAAGACTGGAGATAGGGTTGTTCTTTTTTTTGCCCATGATCTTCATGGCCATTACTGTACTGGTAGGTTACCATATATTTTATATCTATTGCATATTCCACAGTGTAAAGTGCACTCTATATAGTTGAATGGCTGAATTGACAGTTGATTTGTACTTGTACTGGCACCTAGTGGTGTGGGTGCGTAAAAAGTAAGCCTTCCACTTATTGATGTGGGTAGGGTTTTTTTTCTTTCGCTTTTTGATATGCGATGCAAAGTTTTTAAAGCAGGAGGAGAGACATGTTGCTGTTCATGTACACACATGACATACATTCATTGTTTATTATTATTTTTATATGTATGTATATATATTTTCAAATTTTGATTTTCAAAGATTTATTATAAAATTGTATTATTTTTCCCCCAAAATGCAATAAGGATGATACGTTTGTTTTTTCTTCCAAAATGCAATAAATCCATTGAATCAATATAAAAGTTATTTTTCATATTGAAACTGTTGGAAATACACAACATAGTAAGTTGATCCACATATGACAGCCTCTGAACTTGGTCAATACTAATCTTATATACAGGCACTGGACTAAAAATACATTCAATCAGTCATCGCTCCCAAAATGAATTCAATGGGTCATCTTGTTAATGCTATAAATTAATTACAACAATAAAAGAAAATTTCATCATGAACGTACGTGAACAACAATATCACATTAAAGCACAGAAATGCCAAAATGACATTTCCCTTACATTCAACTTCCAAAAGTGCATTCATCTTTACCATGTTACATTCATTTAGTTGACTAGTGCTATACGCTGTATTAACAAAAACATTAATGACATAAATAAAAACACTTACACTGATAAGCTACGCAGTATCGCATTCATAATCGAATGCGACTCATCTGCGATTATGAATGCGATTTAGCAGTGATCTAGGGCTCTGTGTATTAAATGCCGCTCCATCTGAAAGCACGTGATGGAGATTTACTATTAATCACAGAACCGGCTTTACTGACGAGATGCGCATGACAATCGCATGTGATTTATCGTGCAGCCCTAATTTTTTTGTTTGTTGATCACAAAGTACAAAATAGATGAGGAAAACTAGGATGCCGGATGCACTGCCATTACTGTCTAGAGTGGTGGAATGGTGCGCTGTGATTGGTTGAGCGGATATATTGCATTCTGCAGAAATTAAAAATTGACTTTTCAATACCGACCAGATACAATACCGATTTTGGCGGAAACTCAATTCTTTGTCAAAGTTTTGGAACCAAACTCTTCATATTAGGGCTGAACGATTTTGGAAAATAATCGAATTGCGATTTTTTTTGGACCAATATTGCGATTGCGATTTAACATGCAATTATTTTTTAAAGCTCTTTTTGCTCTGTATTATTCAACAAAGACAAGCTATAAATCATTGTATAGTATGACCGACACACTATTATAGATAGATTAAACATAAATGTTCTTTTCTGTAGGCCAGGCCTATATGTTACGATGAAATTAGGTGATGCATGAATTGATATGAATGACATTTTTATGAAACTTCATCTCCGATTAAAAATGAGTCTGGGCATGCTCATTAGAGTTATCTAAATCAAATAAGCAGCATAGTTTCAGCTCAGTGGTAAATATCAGCTGAACTCATATCTTGGCTTTGGCTATGTTTGAATGAGTGGGTGTTTGTTTATAAACTAGAGCAAATATTTGTATATATGATTCTGCTTTTGGATTTGTTGTTTCTGTGGTATGATAGGATTGGAACACACCTGTGTGTATGTTTTCCTCTTGTGCCACATAGCTGAGGCTCATCTCCAGAAGGCCATATGGGTCCTGCTGAGCTTCAGCCTGTTCCTCCTGCAGCCTTTGGCCTGCTGGTCCACAGCAGCACAGCACGGCTCACCTCAACACACATTGCAGGGGCTGTCTGCCAGAATGCAATACAAACTAAAACCACACAGGCTCTGGTGTCCTTGAGTTTAAACATTCTGCTGCATTTGAAAGCATAATCATCCTGAAACCACTCACCTGCCTCCCGGTCCTGATGGACTTCTGTTGGGTGTTTCTCTATTATCTATGGAAGCCCGTTTCTGCTACATAAGAAAAAAACTTGTGTAAGTCCTAATAATGGCATTTAAAGTAGAAATTATGAGATAAAAAGTCACGATTATGACACAAGTCATAATTATGAGAAAAATCTATTAATCACATAAAAGTTTGACTTTTTGACTTGGTATCTCATGATTTTGACTTTTTTGTCTCATAATTATGACTTAGTATGTATTGTGACATTGTCATAATTTTGACTTGTGATGTAATTAATCCCCCCCCCCCAATAATTATGATCTTTTTTGTCATAATTATGATTTACAAAAGTGTGATTTTTTCCCCCTTTGTGGCAGAAATAGTCTTCATTCAAAGAAATATCACACATTCAAAGATGGAAGAAAAAATATTACATAAAGTAAAAATTATGACAAAGCTTAAATAATGAAATTTCAACTTTGTAACTCAGAATTATGACAGTATCTCATGATTTTGAATCTTATCTCATAATTGCCATAGTATATCATATTTCTGACATTTTTGGGCTATCGTAGTCATCACACATTTAAAATATGAAAATAAATGACTTAAATCACATCAAACGTCAGGTCAGATTTGAAGCATTTCCTCATTTATGACATGGTATCTGGTCCACTATAAGTTAATAAGAGTCATGGACATGTTTGCAAAGATATAATATTCAGAAAATTAAATGTGAGCCTTGCCAGACTGCCTCACTCCCTCCAATCAAACTGGGCAAAAACAGTCGATCGCAGGAGACATTAAAAGAAACCAGGAACAGAAGAGTAGAAAATAGACCTTTCAACAAAATGAGGGGGAGGAGGGTTGTCGTGAAGAAAAGGTCCACCAGGAGTTTGTATTGTGACATTGTCATAATTTTGACTTGTGATGTAATTAATTCCCCCCCCCAATAATTATGATCTTTTTTATGTCATAATTATGATTTACAAAAGTGTGATTTTTCCCCCCTTTGTGGCAGAAATAGTCTTCATTCAAAGAAATATCACACATTCAAAGATGGAAGAAAAAATATTACATAAAGTAAAAATTATGACAAAGTTTAAATAATGAAATTTCAACTTTGTAACTCAGAATTATGACAGTATCTCATGATTTTGAATCTTATCTCATAATTGCCATAGTATATCATATTTCTGACATTTTTGGGCTATCGTAGTCATCACACATTTAAAATATGAAAATAAATGACTTAAATCACATCAAACGTCAGGTCAGATTTGAAGCATTTCCTCATTTATGACATGGTATCTGGTCCACTATAAGTTAATAAGAGTCATGGACATGTTTGCAAAGATATAATATTCAGAAAATTAAATGTGAGCCTTGCCAGACTGCCTCACTCCCTCCAATCAAACTGGGCAAAAACAGTCGATCGCAGGAGACATTAAAAGAAACCAGGAACAGAAGAGTAGAAAATAGACCTTTCAACAAAATGAGGGGGAGGAGGGTTGTCGTGAAGAAAAGGTCCACCAGGAGTGGTTCCTGTCATGCACTTGGGTCATGTGGAGTGGGGTGGGGAACCAGGAACAATGAAGACAGTCATACATTGTGGCAAAACAAGGCCCAGATGTTTCCAATCAATTCCCTGTATGAGATAAGGTTTCATATGAAGCCACAGAGAAGCATACCTGATAAGATTATAAAACACAGAGGACTCTCAGCCTCCCTCTCCTCTCCTCATCATTTTGACTTCACCGAGACTGTACGCTCTCTCTCGCCATCCAGCAAAAAGACTGGATGAACAAAACATCTACATGAGCCAAGTTCTGGTTCTGGGTGGGGGAGCATGCACACACACACACACACACACACACACACACACACACACTAGGCCAGATGTGTATTTAGGGATGGGCAAATGCAAAGTTAGAATATGTGACTGGAAGAAAGGGTTTTTATTACTCTCATTGTTCTTCAGTCTTGTTGGAGTCACTTTTAAAACCTTTGTGAGCATGCGCAGAGCAAGGCTGCTTTCTGAACGCATAGTTGAGTTTTCGTGAAAGATTCAGCTCATATGGTCATGTTGCACGAGTGGGTGAGGTCTCTCAGTTGCGCAGTTCATGGGAGTTTGGAGCTGTGATTTGCAGAGATCTAGTGTGAACTGAAGCTCTGCAGAGCTCCTCACAGTGGACAATCAATTACAATGCATAAAATGCCTCCACTGTACGCGCAATCCCGAGCAAGAGTCTCCGCCAACACTCTTCAGCGCTGGCGAAACGCGCACGTTTAAAGGGAGATTACCATAACAGCAGAAAAGATGCCCTTCTGCAAGAGGACCATAGTCCCTAAAGATGTGTGCAAGAGCGGCGGCAAGAGTCGCGGTGCGATGCTCACGGATCTGGTGGATGTGTGCGGCTTGACTCTGTGCGCGGTGCTCCGGCAGCTGTCGGATTTATCCCGTCAGTCGGTGAGCATCCTGGAGGAGCTGGAGGGAGAGCTCGCCTCCATCTGCTACCGCTCCGGAGCTCTGGAGAATAAACTTATCAGCCTGCAGAAACACATCTCAGCACTGGCCACCAAGCCGCCGGCCAAAAGTAGGAACTTTTTTTTTGTACTTTACACCCTCTTGCTGGCTTGTAGATGTGTGTGGATGACTTGTTTACTCACTTAGCTAATTGTCAAGCTCAAGGTCTTCTTTACTGATGTTTACATTCACCGAACAACATCGCGCGCATTTTGCAAACTATGTAAACGAAACATAGACTTTCATTCTTGGGCTGCTGGGCATATTTTGAGAACAATAACGTCTTTATTAATTCTATAGCCTACATCTTGTGTTCAGTCTCTAAATGTAGCTGTTTCTATTCTCGCTTTAATGTAAATTTGTATATGTAGAGATGGAGGGCCAATGGCCCTGTTGGAAAGAAGCAACAAATGTCTGTTTGTTCACGGCATGAACCTAGTTTTTAGTTCAAAAAGAATAAACCAAAGTCCCCAAATAATAACAACAACCCTTTATCAAGAATTTTACCATAATAAATGGTGGTTTCTTTAAATATACCATAGTTACTACAGGTATTGTTTGTCCTAGGAATCATAGGGGTCCAATTTGACCCACACTGAAAAGTATTTAACAGGTCAACAGGTGTGTTTTTATTTGGTGCCAAAGATTATGATATGATATATGACAGAGAAATTATTTTTTTTAATATTGATGAAGTAACACAGTTTGACAAATAAGAAATGTGAAAGAATTTTGGAATATAATTTCTGCAAAAGGTGTCAGGTTTCCTGCTTAATCACATAGCATTTCCTAATGGCTCACATACAACTTCTATATTATTCTAATATTAGTTAATAAACATTGTATACAGAGTTGCAGCCTTATGTGCTTTTTATGAAATAACTTCCAGAAAAACAAAAAAAACCTCCTTTACTCATATGGCAGTTTGTTGCAGTACTGCAGGTGTTTAGGAAAGTGCTGTAGGCACTTTTCTTTATTTTTTTTCTCTTTTTTATTACTGCTCCATTGTATCCCAACATAAAGAACAATGTCATAATGTGTCACCTTATAAATAAAATATAAAATATATTTGGGTAAAATTTTATTCATTCCTCAAATGCATGTTGATTTTGACCTCTAAAGACCACTGTCAAAATAATTAATTTTATTAAACATTTTTAATTGCTTTTATTGTGTTGTATAGTCTTTTTGCCATTTTGTTTAATTTATTTTTATGACCATTACCAGGTTTGTAGTACTAACAATAACTGTTGTAACTGTGCGTTTGGGAAACTATGGTTATCATGATAAATTTATGTAAGAGAACAGAGTCAGCTCTAGTATCTTTTTGTAGATTTGTTTGTGACGTGCGTTGTCAGTTTTTACTATTATTACTACTAGTGTATCTAGGCTGCATTGGAGAGGGAGAAAGATTATGTAAAATTGCTATCGTATGTCACTGCCACAAACGTACAGTGAACAAACAAGAGATGGTCTTGTTTAAACAGAAGAAATCAGTGTCAGTAGAAGTCATTTGACAGCTATTCAAGTATTAGGATAGTGACCAACACATTCACTTCTTAATGAACAGTAAACAAATGCATTGTCCATGCCACAAACACATTACATTCACACTTGGCTTTGTGTTTAACTTTCACATTATAATCTGTTGTTTTTAAATCTTTTCCATTTGCATTTGAGACGCATTTGGCATCTACTCCTCCTGACGCCTCCCACACTGCTCTGTGCACTGAAACTAGATAAACCTTGCCAACTTTCACCATCTGAAGATGTGCAGAATATTTCCTCCATCCATTTCCTTTGTCTTATCAGAGAAAGCCTCCCTGCTCTGTATTGTTTAGCTTAACCCTGAGCCCGGCACGTTTGGCAGAGTGCTGGAGTGCTTCTTTTCCTCTGTCCTTATCATTTTACAGTGGCAGACCACAGTAGAAACAAAGCGCGGAGATTATCCTCTAAATTCAGGAGGAGATCACTGGTACTGTATTTGTTTAATCCTGTAATTGTGAAGCATTAGTAGCTTGAACTTCCACCATGCTTTGACATGTGGAAGATAAATGATGTGGATCTCTGTATGCAGCGGATTCTTCGGTTGGGAACTCCTCTCCACTGTGGTGTGGGGACTGAGGTCAGGTCCCTCTGGAGACTCTTTGATGGGGACAGGAGGTGAAGGAGCAGACTGGAGGCTTGTTTTTACAGTGACTGAAGCAGGGCCCGTTTTGCAATTGAATTAAAACTGATAGTTGATTCAGCTCTTCCTGAATGTCAGTCAACTCCAGTGATTGCTGCCTCATTCCTCAGGCATTCACGTGAAAGTCACAAGACCATGTGGAGGTATGTGTGTATTTAGGCAGAAGACAGAAGGATCAAGCGGGTTATTTAAGAAGTTTTGATCCTTAAACCTCTTCTCCCTCTTTTTTTGTAGTTAAATTTTAGGGCTTTTTTGCCTTAATTTGATAGGATAGTTGAAGAGAGATTGGGACTGGGAAAGGATCATGAGCCGGGAGTCCTGGCCCTCAAACTTGAGTTGCCCGGAGGCTATTGCTCCAGCTCTTAAAGCTTTTCTTCTCTCTCCTACATTGTGATGTAGATACACTTGAATTTTTTTTTTGAGATATTTAACTGTGATTGCTCATTTCCCCTGTTTTTACATTTTAATTACCTTTGCCATCATCTAACTTTTACTTAAATCTTAAAAAACACTAATAAATTAAAAACACTGTCAAATGTATTCTTAAGGAAATCAATTTAAATGTGACCCTGGACCACAAAACCAGTCTTAAGTCGCTGGGGTATATTTGTAGCAACAGCCAAAAATACACTGTATGGGTCAAAATGATTGATTTTTCTTTTATGCCAAAAACCATTAGGTTATTAAGTAAAGATCATGCTCCATGAAGATATTTTGTAAATTTCCTACTGTAAATATGTTAAAACTTAATTTTTGATTAGTAATATGCATTGCTAAGAGCTCAATTTGGACAACTTTAAAGGTCTATTTTCTCAGTATTTCGATTTTTTTTACACCCTCAGATTCCAGATATTCAAATAGTTGTATCTTGGCCAAATATTGTCCTATCCTAACAAACCATACATCAACGGAAAGCTTATTTATTCAGCTTTCAGATGATGTATAAATCTCAATTTCGAAAAATTGACCCTTATGACAGGTTTTGTGGTCCAGGGTCACAAATAATTAATGTATGTTTTCATACTGTACTTTATCTACCTTACTTTGCAACACAGAAGTAAGCTATTTTCTGTAAATGTGTGAGACTTTTGATTTATTGGCCAATCTTTGTTAACGGTCAAATAATTTGTGTTCCACACTAGTGTGTTTATGATTCTGATAATAAATTAAAATAAGATGATAACAAATACCAGTTTGCAATATCAAGTAGTATAGTATATATATTGTTGTTGTTGTACTACTAAAATAACTGGAAGTGGATGAAGAAGCACCCACTCTCACATTAAAAATAAGTTGCATTTAAAGTGATTGATTTTAATTATTTTTTTATTTATTTACACAAAAATTGTATAGAATTTTAATATACTAAATATGGTTATTGGCCATACCACAAGTGTTCAGCATATGTAAGTTGATACTATATCATTGTTTGATATCAACTGCACTGTTCTTTCCAAGCAAAACCAATAAGAAAATCGGAAATTCTCAAAATGTACTGTTAAATTAATAAACATGATTTATTCTGAGCTTTTTGAGTTTGTCTCCCTTGCTGAGTGTTTCATATATCTGTGAACTGTTATGTGCAAAGTGGATGTAATCATGGATCTGGTGCAGATTATGGATGTAAATCTTGCTGTGACTTTCATATTAATGTTTGCAGATTTATATAGAGATTATATCCCTGACTTTTAGCGGCAAAGTGTGAAGAATGCTCTGAACTGAGTAAAGCCATTGCTTCCCTTTCATGGGAACTTCGAACTGCATCCTCTAGGGGTCGCTATGGGGAACGCCTTGTCGTGACCCGTGTCTGAAGCATACATTGAAAAAACACCAAATCATTGGCCGGCGACAGCCATGACGTCACTACCGGTGCGACTATACTATAAATAGGCGTCGGGAGCACACATCATTCTCTTCTTCGTCTTCATTGACTGTTTTGATTGAAGTGTGCATTTCTGTGGTAAGAGTGATCTCTATTCATCTCATTTTGGCGAGCACTAGCAAAGCGTTTAAGGATGTGTGCATCCGTGTTGATGTTGTTTAACATCTGATGACACTCACGATCTATGCGTTATTTGTTTGGGCGAAGAGCACGCACGCGATGCCTCCGAGGGGGCAATCGGCGTGCACTGTGAGCGGTTTTTTCCAAGGGAAAAAGCTCCGCTCTCGTTTGTCTCTCTTTTCGAGGAAAGAGGGGTAGCCATCTGCTTCCCGCGATTCAGGACCTGCCGCTGCTGAGGCACGGAACAGAATGAGCTTGTGGGGATCGCAGGTGGATCTGGCCGATGAGTTAAAATCCACATAGCTGGTAAGTGTGCACGTTATGCTTTGTCCACTTTTTAAAATCCACATAAGTGGTGTGTTTGCACGTTATGCTTTGCCCACTTTTCTGAAATCCTGTATGGAAAGGGTTACGCGTTACTGACCTCGTTCCCTTTCTCTGAGTTGGTTTAGACCCCGGTACCTTGGGCTCCACTCAACTAGTGTGTCTCTGTCAACACACTCTGGAAGCATCGCTCCCCTCACCATTGAGGGTTATTGTGAGTATGGTGTTTTCCTT